ATGTATTTTTACAACTCAGACCTTTTCAACAAATTTTATTACCCAAAATTCTGCTGACTTGGATGCAAGAAAGGTCGTGTTTGAATCTGTTAACCCCAGATTACGGGGTGGGGGGGATTTTTTTTTTGTCAGTTTTGCTTTCTTAATGTTATACATTATCAATAACGATGTAGCAATAGCACTGGCTAAAACTGAAGCAAAAATATGGATTCAAAACAGCCCTAAATTATATAATGTACCTTGAACAACTGAAATCCCGAGGTATACCAAAATTTTCAAGCTCGTCTGGGAATTAATGAGGTGTTGAATGTGTGAAGTTTTACTGTCCATTAAAATGATCCTTTTAAAAGACCATAAAATTATGTGAGTCCTGCCATGTCATTATATGGCTCTGGGAATGAATTTTAAATTTGGAGAAAAAAAGGGAAATAATCTTACCCTCTAGAATGTGAGCTCAGGATGGGCAGAGAGACGATGGTATCTGTGTTTTTAACAGGGCACCTAGGGCTAGGCACTCAGATGCCTAAGTCCATACCTGAGCTCATAACTTAGTCCAGGAGAGATTTTTCTGTTAAAGGCTATTCATGTAGCCTGGGTCTCCAGCTTCCAGAAAACCATCTGCTATCATATCTTACTGTGCGCAGGGGAGGGTGGGAATGGAGAAGGGGTCCCACCCTTTACCAATATCTGTTCTCCAACAAATCCTAATTGAAAGAAGGATGCCTGGATTGACTATTCTCACTTGGGTCCTCTGTATATGGCTGTTTGCCAAGGTTTTTTTTTTTTTCTCCTTGGTTAGTCACAGAACCAAGTGGGAAATTCTTCCCAGGGCTTCCAGTTGCGACTGAATTGTGTCTCTGAGGGCAAGTGAATGAAGGGACTTCCTTGCCCCCCTACTCTGTGCTACATTTCAGTCTCTGCCTGCAGCGAGTCCTTAACTTATGTGCTTAGAAACATCTTCCATGCCTTTTGTGTATATTCCTCAACCTCCTCGGTAGCTCATGCCTTTGGACAAAAGCTAGAGTAGGGACGGGACTATCAGTTACTGGGAAGTTAATTTCTCACATGGGCTGGATTTGGGAAGCCATGCTGAGCAGTGGAATGGACGGGGTCTTAAGAGAGATCCAGGTCCACATTAATACTCTGCCATTCTGCTGTGCCGTGTGACCTTGGGATGGTGAAGTGATCTCCCTGAGCCTCAGCTTCATCATCTGAATACTTTTCAAGGTACTCGTGAGGAAGAATAGAAATGTGCTCAGCACTACATTTGGCACATCATTGGTGCTTGGTGACGTCGAGCCCCTCCCTTTCCGGCGCTTCTAGAGCCACAGAACTCCATTGCGGTTTCACACAAATACAGTGTGCTCTGTGGCTTGTGTTTTTGCTCCCAAGGATCCTGCCCTTCTTCTCTTAGATTTCCACTTCAGTGTGACATGGAATCCTGTTCCGGCTAATAGGCCTCTCTGGGGAACCCAACAATGACTTGGTTCCCTGCCATAGGCCAAGTTAAACAGACTCAACTTTGCAGGCACAGGCTATCCTGTAAACTGGGAAAGTGATGATCAGTACTGTTCTTCAATATCACAGAATGGCCGTGACTATAAATGAGATCAGATTATGGTGGACCATATGAAATCACCCTTTTGGAGGTCAAATATGGTTCAACATCTGTAGTTGCATGCTTCAGCCTCATAGTTCCGTGGGTCTTTTAATAGATGGTCACTAGTAAATGTCATTTACAAATTTCCATAGTAAAGACTGTTAAGCAGCTCTTTGGCCAGCAGGGAAGGCTTGGATTAGATGAGGCAATGAGTGTAAAAGTGCTTTATAGACCATGAACACTAGGTAAATGCAAAGTATTTTTTGAATTAATCGTGGACATGTAATATTTTAACCCAGGGGCTCTTAAACTTTTAAAAAATTAGGTAAATTCCACTGAGTGCATTTCTAATGTGGTTTCACAAAAGAAAAGTCTGTTCCCAGTGTGCGATTTATTGACTGCGCTGTATATATTCAGCTGGAGTTCATGCTTGACCCGTACCTAAGAAAAGGGTGTCTTTGAAGGAAAAAGTTATGATAAGAGGTGGTTTGATATTAAAGTTATTGTGTTTGTGTTGGGGGTGGGGGGCTGGAGGGGACTGTCAAGGTGGGGGCCGAGAGGAATGACTGTCACATACAGAATAAACTAGAGCTTGTTAGGGCTTTGTTTCTTTGAATAGCTGACACAAAACCTGGCCCCAGGAGAGTGAATAATTTCTTTGTTTTCAGTTGTTAATCCATTTTATGAAAATTCAGCCGAACATTAGACAAATGTGCAAAATGTGCTCTAGTCCTCCCAGCAACCCAGGGTTAGTTCGGAGCCACCCTCTAACAACAGCTCCCCTGGGACCTGGATGTGAAGGGCAGAAATGGCAAGAAAGTTTGCCACCCCCCCACCCCCACCTCACCATCACAGAAGTGACTACTATTCGTTCAGCTCTCATATGGTCAGGGTCCCAGGGCGATCATATCTGTCTGGCTTTTGGGAAAGTGACTTAGCCACCTTTTAGTCCACAGATTGAGGATGTCATTCAACTTGTAGCCCCCAAACCAAAGCTACTCTCTATTCCTAGAAGACATTTGGTACATGAATAGACTCTGAAACCACTAACCACCTCTACTTTTGGCATAAACCAAGACTTTATAACTTCGGTGTGCCCGTGTCCTATGGACAAGTTCATTTATTTCTGTCCAGTGTGCATTTTCATAACAAGCTGAGTTTGGTTCATCTGAAGCAGCCTCTAAATTGTTTCTCTACTTAAGGATTCGCCATCCTTCAAGATGAACGCAAAACCAAATTGTTTGTGTGGCAAAGCGGGAAATCCAGGGCTCATTAATGGGGCAGAAGGCCAGGTTCAGTGGCGGGGGGGGAGTGAGGGCAGCCAGAAGAACAGGGTTTAGCCATCCACATTTATGGGGAATCATCAGATCACCAACAGGGAGGGGCCTCATCTGCGCCAGGCAGGGAGGACCACCTTGCTGGGGAATATGGCTCCTCACAGCAGCTGTGCCTTCCCTGCCAGCAGCAGCCGTTGGTGGGAAGACTGCCTTGCTTTATTGCTTCATCTATCACTGTTGAGCTGCCTGCCTCAGGGAGGCTCAATTTAAGATAGATTGAAAGGTAGTGTCTGTCAATTGAATAAACACAGATGGTTTTCCACGGCAAAAATTGATTTTTTTCCCTCACCAAAGACATAAGCGCTAAACCTGATTATCTTTGGAAGCCAGGTGTGAAATGTCTTAGCTCCAGCCCCTGCCACACCCTGCCCTAACAGGGAGGTGATATCACGTGGGGGCTGGGGTGTCTTTCACCGTAATTCTAGGTTCTCGAGGTGGAATAAGAAGTTCACGTCCCTAGAGAAGGGCCCGGCAAAGTCCATCCCAATAAGAAGGTTTGGGTCCATCCATCAGCTGATTCACAGAACAGTTTTACCAGTCCTGGGTCACTGGCTGGCAGAGGCCTTCTCCAACCCTTTCCTTTAGGAGTCCCAAAGAGGTGCTAAGATGGGTCTCATGACACACAGCTAGACTAGACTTCAATCTGCTCACTGTTTGTCCAGAAGCTAGGGAGGAGACCGACATGATCTATGCCACGATGTTACCTGAAGGGGACATTAAGATGAGTCCTACTCCCAAAGTGTCTTTGAAAGCAGGTAGGTCAGAGATCTGCAAGTCACACTATGTACCCAGAATGCCAGACACTGCAGCCCCTACCTAGGTACAAAGTCAGTGCATACTCAAGAGTTTTGAAGAAATCTAAGGGTAAAATCGTGGGGCACTAGGTCATGATGACAGGTGCATGGAGGTTGGAGGTGAGCAGGAAAAGTACCCTTTGTATAATGAGGAGATCGAGCAATATGTTTTCTTATGTGTCTTTTGCTTTAGAGACAGAACTAGAAACAATGACAAGACTCAAAGGGTTTTTGCAATAGAGGGACCTTAGTACTGTCCTCTCCTTCTAGAGATGAAAAAATGAGTTGAGAGAAGGGAAATTGACAGCTAAACTCACAGATAGACAGAGTTGGGCTATCCAGCTACAGATCTCGGTCCTTTCAGCTACACTGCCTGTCTTGCTTCTCAAACTGTCCCGTGTCATTATGGAGTGACTACCAGGAAAGCAGGTGGGTACAGTATAGAAGTGCATGCGGCAGACGGGAGTGAAGAAGTCTCGCTCCAGCTAAAACGGCTGTAAACACAGGTCTTTACAATTGTCTCTGTGCTGACGTCTAAAGCTCTGCAGACAGCGAGCGCGTCCTTTTATCAAGAGATGAAAATGTTTTCATACAGGCCCTGTGGAAAAGAGAGCTGACAGTTCCTTCTCACTTGGCCAGAGAAAACCAGAACTAAAATCGTCTTTGGATGTGAGGGCTACACCTTAGGGCACATTTGCAGAATCTGGGTTTATCTGAAAGTGGGTTAACGTGTTTGCAGTCTTGCAGAATCGGCCTACCGTGGAGTCAAGAAAAACTTGGTTCAGGGTTTCCAAAGTAAGATCGTCAAATCTCTTTACTCAGAAAAATAACCAGATTTCAGTCCTGTATTTTTCTATACATGGCTGTTGGATAAATACTCTTCTTAACTAGAAACTTAATGTATCTGTAGCTCTTTTACAATCCGTTCTGAAAGCTAAGCCCCCTGTAAATGACTTAGACATATTCAAACAGAAATATATATTACTGAAATTTTATTCATTTCCTCCCACAGACTTTAGGTAAGCATATGTTAAATGTGTTAAATGTAAACATGTTTCTGTTTCCACTCAGATGTGATCCCCCCCCTTTTTTTTTTTCCATAAGAAATTACTGCTTCAATGTAGCAGACAAGGACAGCCAAATCTAAGTAGATACATTTGGCTGAAAATCTGTATACCAAAAATAAATACTATACTTTATGTACTTATAAATAATGAACTGAGAGTATGATCAATTTTTTCCCACAAGGATTTCTCTTCTATGGTAGAACTAACTATGCCATGGATGATTGAAATGGGGAAACAGCAGAAAGGATCTCCATTGAGTTAGAATTCAGAGTGAGATATCAATCCACAGCCTCACACGGATCTTTGTATATGTGTCTATGTGTTTGGTTGTATTTTTGCCTTAAAATGATGTGTTGAGTGTTTCTCCTATGTCCCCAGTAACATCTTTTAAAAACAATCAACACTCAGGGATTTGTTTTAAACTGGCTTCCAGTGTTATCAGTTTGGGAATGGTCCCTCATACATGGGACTTTTTGATAGAGTTGGCTTTCAGGTTAGGAGTGTAAAAAACAGTTCCTTGGTTTGTGATTATAAATATTCCTGAAAAATTATTCAAATCATATTTTTAAAGCGCTAGTTTCTGCTTCAAGAAATGACAAGGTGAAGTCTTTCACAAAGTGGACATTTAATGTATAATTTTTCTGCTATATAAATCTGGTGGCTCATATAGTTTCTGTGACTTAATTGGCCATACCTGTGTATCAGGGCTTGATGCTTAAAAGAATAATTTCTTATTCCCTTTTCTAAAAAGGGGAGAGTTGGCTCTACATCAGAAGAAGCATTCAGAAGTTGAAATGGAAAATGTAAGCCTTGATGTGCCTTTCAAACATCACAGCAATCCATTTGGGCTTCTCTGCAACCTGCCTACAAACTCATAGCCTTCCAAAGGGTCTTTGGAGGGTATAGAGACAACAACAGATGTGAGGGTTCTTTAGCCATAAAGCAAAACCGGGGACCCCTGGGGCGACAGGGTCAAGGATCAGCCTAGACGTACCCTTCATGACAGATGTTTCCATTGATGAGGCTAAAGGTGGCCGCAGAGGGGTTGGTGCTCTTGAAGGAGGTCATGCAGGTGGTACTTCTGCCGGTGCTATGAGAGCGGGTCATCAGGCCAGGCCGACAACAGAGGAGCTGGGTGTTGAATTGTTTCCTGAAACTCTTGCTCAGCAGGTAGAGGGCGAAAGGGTTCACGCAGGAGTTGGTGAAGGCCAGGAGGCGGGCGCAGATGCTGGTGATGAAGTGGAGCATGGAGGTGTCCACCTCAGAGTAGTGGTAGGAGCGGTACAGGTAGATGATGTGGTTGGGGAGCCAGCAGAAGGCAAAGAGGCCCACGAACACCAGCACTGTCTTGGCAAGGCGCTTCCGGGATTCAATCTAACGAGAGAGTCACACACGCGGAGACAGAGGGACCAAGGGACGGTGTGGGATGAATGCAGAGAGACAAAGATTCAGACAGAGAAAAAAAAAAAAAAAACAAGGAAAAAGAATTGGAGAAATAGATGAGCTCACAAAGCCACAGAAAAAGAGTTCAACGGGAGAAAAAAGACAAGAGAAAATCCGATAAAACGAGAGGAAAGCAACAGAAACATGGAAAAAAGGGGGGACGGTCAGAAACACAGAAATGGAAAAGCCAGGAAGCAGAAATCCATGAAGTAGAATATAGTTAGAACATGCCACTGAGAACAGATCTTTAAACAAAGTTGATTACATGCTTGAATGGCTTGCACAATGAAATTTTAGTAAGTGACCTCTTTTTCCTCAGGAGAACACTGGTGCGGTTTATCAGCCCTATGACTTACATCTTTCTTGGCTCCACAGTTAATCATTTCTTATTTCCTCTGATGCTCAAAAAAAGCAGCCAGCTTTGTTCTTTCTCATTGGCCAAGCCAAAATAACTTCCTATTATTATTTTTTAATCTCAAGTTATTTCTGGGCTATACTCTACAGGAAGGTCCTTAGACAAAGTGGGCTGAGCGTCTCCTTTTGCTCCCAACACCCTCTGCTACTTCTGCAAAGGGGAACCATCTTTCTTATTAGAGAATCTGAGGTACAACGGATGTTCGCTATTGAGAGGTCTTTCAAATATGGAGACCGTTTCACTGAGAACTGCTACGCTCTCCTCGTAATTGAGGCAAAAAAAAAAAAAAAGGAACTTTAAAGGGTGAAGTCGCCAACTGAGTCAGCTGTACATTTAAACGGATGGGGAGTCTTTCTGCTTTTTCCATCATAAATCCCACATGATCTACATTTGAACTAGAAAGCAAGCACCGACAAAGAGGAGAAAGCTGGAGCCCCTGGTTTCTGCTATTCATACCTGAAGTTTGAAATTATGCAGCGTTATGGGGGATGGCGGAGGGAGTCTAACACATACGGAGGGCATTCTGCATTCTGGGCATTCTAGGTCACACATGTGCTCTGTCTTTTAATCGTCACACGGCCTTATAATAGTGGGGTTATCACCCTATATCATGGGTAACAGAACTGAGGCTCAGAGAGAGTGAGTTAGTCATTAGGTTTGGATTTGAATCCAAATCAGTGTGAGCCTGTCTTAATCAAACTACTTCTGTTTCTTCAACCAGCCTTATTTTCCTGCTCCCTCTGCTTTGTGCCCATGTGGTAACTCTTTTCCTCTCCAAACAATGTGACTGGAGTTTAAAGACGTCACATCCCTATGAGTCTCAATATTTTATTTTGTCAACAATACTTTTTCAGATAGTTCTCAAAAAGAAACCCATCCTTCAAATCTTCCAGATTCTCAACACCTCCCTAGCTTAGGTCTTTAGTAAGAGAACAAGATTATAAAGAACACCTGAATTCCTGGGCTTCTGTGGTTAGGAGTTTCCATTTACCATCACCCACCTCCTCTAATTGCAGAATCAGGTGACGTGACCACCTAAATAATGTACTTGCCAGTGGCGTGCAAAAGAGAGCCAAGCCCTAAAGAGGAAATGAATCAATCCTAAGCACCCACCTGCTTCTTGACATGTATATTCCCTTCCACAGGCAGATTGTAAGCACTCTGGATCAGATTTCTAGCAATGAAGTAGTAGTAGACAGAGATAATCGACAGTGGGATGATGTAGAAGACCAGGAAGGAAGCCATGGAGTGAATTTTGGGGTGCAGCTCATTAGAGTGTGGGTATGGGGCACAGCTAATGAAGGTCTGGTTGGTGCTTTCCTCATGGAAGGGATGTAGATCAGAAAACACAGCCTCCGGGATGGCCAAAAGCATGGAGATAATCCAGATCAATGCAGCTTTGAGGCAGATCTTCATCAGAGCGTGGGAGGCCTGGATATCCATTGGCCGGACGATGGCTTTGTACCTGGGGCAGGAAAGAGCCAATGTAGTGTGCAAACTGCCTAATATTATTATGGATGCCAGGGCTGGGACGAGGGTGAGGGAAGCCAGGCAGCTGGGTGCAGTATTTAAGGAGGTGCTCACTCTCAGGTTCATGCAGGTGCAGACTCTGTACTCACACCACCATGACAATGAGGGCCTCCCTAAATGTTATACCTGAGTGCCTTGCTCTCCTTATCCTAGTCCTGGCTCTGGAGGATGTGTTCCCATTTCTTCACCCACAATTTCTCCTGAGTTTAAGAATACTTTGCAGAAAAGCTGAAGCTCCGTTCATTTTTCTTCTTAAATCATAGAAATTAGTAACAGGCATGTTTAAAGAAGGACACGGCAGGGGGGGCACCTGGGTGGCTCAGTGGGTTAAGCGTTTGACCCTTGGTGTCGACTCAGCTCACGATCGCAGGGTCTTGGGATCGAGCCCCGAGTCAGTTTCCACACTCAGCGCGGGCAGTGTCTGCTTGAGATTCTCTCTCCCTCTCCCTCTGCCCCTTCCCCCACTTGCACTCTTTCTCTCTCTCACTCTCTAAAATAAATAAATCTTCTAAAAAAACTAAAGAAGGACACAGGGACAAGAAGGTTAGGTTCGTTCATTTGTTTGTTTTGGCAAAGCCTTCGTTTTGAGTATTCAGATGCCTTTTAGGGAACCTGAAGTCTGAGTATTTACGTTTGCCTCTTTGCTTTTTCAAAGGGTGCAGGACAAATAGGCCACTGAAAAAGTTATACCAGGAGCATCCCCATAATTGTCAAATTAATCTTCCCCTGCCCTCCTTCTCTCTTTCAGTCTCATCTCTTGGCAGTATTCAGGTCCCTCCTGGGTTCTGTGCTATATGGGCCCCTGGCTTGGATGCTCTGGGAAGCAGACAGTGAGATGAAACCAGGAGGACAAAGAGTTTACTGGGGAGTAATGCTTGTGAAAGGCAAAGGGAAGGATGCAAGATTGGATGGAAGGGAGCTGTCAGACCCTGAGGCAGACCTGACAAGGTCTACACTAGTGAAAGTGACCAGCCATGCTAATTTGTCTGGAAATTGCCCAATTTTAGCACTGAAAGTCCTACATCCTGGGAAATCTCTCAGTCCCAGCAAACCAGGACAGCTGGTCACCCTATGCCAGCCTAATGGGGAGCTTGGTAACAGAGATTGCCCAGCGGAGGAGTCCTGTCTTGGATGGAAATGGCCAGGCCCTTGTATCACCACTTTGCTAGTCATGGGCTGGGGCCACCCAAAAAGAGTGTGACCTTAGTTACTATCTGGTTTAGTCACTGGGCAGGAACTGAGGAACTGTCCAAGAAGAGCATTGACCATAGCTTGAAAGCGGAAGTGAACTCTGAAGGAACCAACAACTGGAGGCTGTCAGCTCACCACAGTTCCTGCAGCTGGATAGTGAATCTTTTCTTCAAGGGAGGTCTGAGCAGAGCATCTCAACGTCTGCCACAACTCCCCGTACAACACCTAGCACAGTGGGGTGCACACCAGTTTTGTGTGCACTTGTCTGAGAACCCACTAGAGGATGAGCCTCTGGTGGGCAAAGAGTGTCTTCCATCTTGGCATCTGCCAGCACTGTGATCTGCACACATTCCACAAATATTTGTTCAGTCGAACATGAGCTGCAATAGTGGGGAAGTTGATGTGTGTTGGGGCCAACTAAATGTGAGGGTGTTCATTGCTGAAAATGCTGTGTTAAAACTGGTTCTACCACTGATACTCTTTTATATGATGGACTTCAGTGATGGGGGAACACTTGTTTCCACTTGCTTCCATGTTGATTAAACTTCCATTGAGTTACCACTCTTTGCTGTACCCTGATTCCTCACTCACTTTCTGCCTCCCTCCAGGGAAAGGGGAGTGAGTTATTAAGAGGTGAGTTTGAGAAAAAGAACCTGGCATGTACGCTGGGCTCAGAGAGGCCTATGGTTGTCCCTGACTAGGGGAATGGGACATATAATGTAGGAAATCAGGTGTTTGCAAGTTCATTATTGCTGTGGACCCAAGTCACTTCTCCAAATAGCTTTATCAGGCATAGAAGCAATTATTTTTATTGTTCTCGATTTCTTTATCTAGCTCTCTGTTCCTAACACAGGTAGAGAAGAGAGGGCTCTTATTTAATGGGCATCCCCGGCACTCCAGAACAATACTATAGTCCTGCTTCAGTGTACCTCAGTTTGCTTTTTCCATCCATAGATTATATTGATTCATTTTAAACCATTACAGAAAAACATAAAAATTTCAAAGGATGTTTTATTTTCTTCTGGCACTTTCTCTACTCACTAGTCATCTCAAACATTTTTGTTCCTAGTTTAGAATGTAGGCAAGGAATTTATATCTTTAATTAAAGGTACGTGAACATCTTCAGCCAAAGATGTATATGACTAAAGCTATCTCTGATAAATCAATTACAGATAAAGTAGTAATTATGACTTCCATCTGCGTTTTCTGGCAGACAGCAGTCATAAGTACCATTAATTCTCCAAGTGAAGGTGATTCACTCCTGCAGGAGTGACTCATTTCTGCATGAGGCAGAAACCAGAGTGAATGGCTTACCTCCTTTTCTCTTGGGAATCTTGTACTGCTAAGTGCAAAATGCCATGGGAACTGTTGAGCTGCTATTTCAAATTCACAACTTTTAAACATAAAAGATAGTATAAAAACATTACAGTTTTCTAGTTTTGCCAGAAAAACAATTTGAATCTAAATAAGCCTCTATATCTATGTAGCAGTTTTCAGAAAACGTAGGGATAAAAGAATCTGCTAAATGATGAAGATACAGTCAAATCCCAAATTGGAAAATTCTACAGGAATGACTCCATTTTTTTCCCAACAAATACATGGCATAGAAAAGGAGAAAAAAAATTTTTTAAAAAGGAAGGAGAATGGTTATAGACCTACTGGGATGTGTAATACATATTAAGTGCAATTTTGGATTTTGATTCAAAACAAACAACCATAAAAAGTTGTTTTTGAGACTATCAAGGAAAATCGAATATAGATTTAGTACTGGTGATATTAAGAAATTATTTTTAATATACTAGGTATTGTGGTTCTGTGTTTTTAAAATGGTATTGTGGTTCTGTGTTTTTAAAAAGACTTTATTTATTAAAAACACCCTAAAATATTTACCATGAATATATTTACACTGAATTAATATAATGTCTAGGAATTGCTTTTAAATATTCAGGTACATTCATATATCACTTGTGTAATTAAAAAATAAGTAAAAATGCACTGCAAATAATTTTCTGTTATTGAATATTCATAAAATATCAAAAGTAATTAAAGAAATCCCATTTACTAAGTTCCTGCTTTGTGCCAAGCAGAGGATAGCATCTGCATTATCTCATTTATGTCCAGACGACAGATGGGTGCTATTATCCTCATTCTACAGGTGACAAACTGAAGCTTACTTTCAGAAGTGGTGGAGTCGGGGCGCCTGGGTGGCTCGGTCGTTAAGCGTCTGCCTTCGGCTCAGGTCATGATCCCAGGGTCCTGGGATCAAGCCCCGCATCGGGCTTCCGCCTCTGTGGGGAAGCCTGCTTCTCCCTCTCCCACTCCCCCTGCTTGTGTTCCCTCTCTCGTTGTGCCTCTCTCTGTTAAATAAATAAATAAAATCTTTAAAAAAAAAAAGTGGTGGAGTCAGCATTCGATTGAGGACCAACTCCTTTCAGGATAAAAGCTCTGGGGAAATCCTTCTTAGAAGCAGAGAAACAGACCAGAAGTTTCCCAAATGTGTATGGAACACACCAAATGGTCCCTGGAAGTCTAATGGTTCTATAGAGCATGGGACATGTCAGTCTATTTCTTCTTCTGGTTTAGATAGCTCTCCCCAGAGCTCCCAATGCAGGGAGACACCTCTGGTGGGGGCGGTGGGGGGGAGTTGTTTGTTTGTTTTTTTTGGGGGGGGGAGTTCTTATTTAGGAGTGATGGCTAGTTGGACTGGGGTGGATACTTAATCTAAACCAGCCAGTGAACTGCCTGACCAGCTACTAAATAGTAGAGCCTCTCTTTCTCTTGAGCATTTAAACTGAAAAAATGAGAGGATGTAGTTAGTCAATAACAGATGCTGGAAGTAAAAGATTTTGATGTCAAGAAAGAGATTGGGGGGGCGCCTGGGTGGCTCAGTCGTTAAGCGTCTGCCTTTGGCTCAGGTCATGATCCCGGGGTCCTGGATGGAGCCCCACATTGGGCTCCCTGCTCAGCGGGAAGCCTGCTTCTCCCTCTCCCCCACTTGTGTTCCCTCGCTCGCTGTGTCTCTCTCTGTCAAATAAATAAAATCTTTAAGAAAATGGGATTGGGCATATTTTAACCATGTGCAAGATAAATAAGCAGAGGAGGTAGACTGAGAGAAAGAGAAAGAATAAGGCAGACATAAAGGAAGCTGATGGGGCGCCTGAGTGGCTCAGTCGGTTAAGCGTCCAACTCTTGATTTCAGCTCAGGTCACGATCTCAGAGTTGTGAGATTGAGCCCCGAGTCAGGCTCCTCACTGAGTGTGGAATCTGCTTAAGATTCTCTCTCTCCCAAGGGGCGCCTGGGTGGCATAGTCAGTTGAGCATCTGACTCTTGGTTTCGGCTCAGGTCGTGATCTCAGGGTTGTGAGATTGAGTCCTGTGTTGGGCTCTGTGCTCAGCATGTAGTCTGCTTGAGACTCTCTCTCTCCCTCTGCCCCTCCCCCCCCAAGAAAAGGGAAAAGAAAAAAAAAAAGAAGCTGAGATGATGTGGCCCTAAGTCAAATGGAGGGTCCTTTGTTCCTGGCCCATGAACTGCTTTTGAATGTACAAGAGGTCTCCTGTTAGTCTTACAATTCTCCTATTTCCTTTTCACTTGAGTTAGTTTGAGTGGCTTCTGTTCTTTGTCAGCAAAAGAGCCTTATCTAGAACAGTTAGACATGATGGACATTTAAAGTTATCATCAGATTTGTTTCCAGCATCATTTTTCATACATCATCCCCTACTTGCTGCCCTATGAAAGAATGAATG